CCGCGCAGCCGCATGCGCACTTGATCCGAGACGCCCAGTTCCCTTTGCGGTGGCACTTCGTGCAACTCCACAGCGGCTTTCGAGGTCCGAGGAGAAAATCCTTCGAAACAGCCCCATTCGACATCGCACTGCCACTCGAAAGAGAACAAAAATACTTGCTCCAACAGGAGCTCACACAATCGCGGAAAAAACCTGGTCTGACCACGCAAACGAGGGGCACTGTGGGGGCCGCTGCTCCCCCTTGCCAGTGAGGTCAGGTCCTGTGCCAAAGCGGCTCCGGACGTGAGCCAACATGGCTACGGCAAGTAGAACAGCCTTCATCTCGGTCGGGGCCCCCTTCCCGCACCGCCGAAACATCGGCTCTTCTCCTCGAGGTTCCGTTTAAGTCCGAGGGGGTTCGCTACGCGCCGCGGGGGCCGAGCATCCCAGCATTCGATTTCCCGCGCGGCCTCGAAGGCCTCGTCAACCAGACCACAGCGCCCTCAATCGCCGGCGCATGCGCCGTCGGAAACATCGACCACAAATCGAAAAACGGGGTCCATGACCGTAAATCAAATCCTCTTGCTCAGGACGGGCCTGATCGAGGGCGGGATTAAGGGCCGCCAGAAAACGATCTGGCGCTGGCTGGCCCCCATGCAAGCAACCACGTTCAAAGCGAACGAACTCAACTCTGCCGAGTCAGTCTGCGCCAGGGCCATGACGCGTCGGCGCCTGCCGACCGCAGGCGCGGCACCCGCAGCATTCAAAGTCCGGCAAATGGCGGGGCCGAGAGCCGAGAGGGGCGCGGGGTCAAATGCGTTCGCCTGGTTGCAAGAGGCGATCAACGACCCCCTCGCCTGCGCCTGCAGCTGCCGAGCCGCGAGCGCACGTTGCAGAAAAAAACTGCTCGCGACGTCTGCCCTCGCGAAGACCTGCGCCGTGGCGCGTCGAGGGTCCAGCCCGACGCTTGCGGACAGCCCCATGCGCGCGATTTTCCCACAGGGCCTAGAAGATGAATGAAGCGCGCTGCATTGCGTTCGATCTTGTCAATATGCGGACCACGCGACATGGCTGACTGGGGCCCCAGAGGTTCGGGATCGCGCCGGCGCCCCGGGCCATCGCGAGAGACGACTTAAAACGCGCGAACAAAGCCCCGAGCCTTTCAGCGGGGTCTTCTGCGAACGACAAGGAAGCCGCCAAAGCGAAGACCCCGAGCTCCCGAGGCGCAGTCTCCGAACGGAACTCTGAAATGCCCGTCGCATGCCCGTCGAGCCCGCGGCGCGACCTGCGCAAGGAAGATAAATGCGAGGGCAGAGGAGGGGGTAGAGGAAAGACCTGGCAGTCCGCCGCCGCGACGCAGAGCAGCACGCCGCCGCAGTGCCTCGGGGCCAGGGGGCTGCGCGCTGATCCCCGTCGCGGATGTTCGGCGGCGCCGCCGTGGGCTCATTGCACTGCCCGCGCTCGGGGCCTCGACGGGCCCCCGCAGTCCGCCCGCAGAGCTGCCGCGCCAGACGGCCATCGCCGCCAGAGTGCCGCGCCAGACGGCTGAATTGCCCCCTCGCCCACCCACCCCGCCGCGGCCTCATCCCGACGTTTAAACTTACGGATGCGCAACCCCATCTCCTCACAAACTTCGCCTCAAGCCGATCGGCACTCACCCTCGGAAGCCCCTGAAAGAAGAATGCGCGAACGCCCTCAAGTTTCGCTTTGATCGACAGGGCTGGGGGCGCGCGGAACATGTCTGCACCAGCGGATCTCAATGCGCCATTGATGGAGTGGCAGCTGCCGCCCACGCCCAGCTGCTCGAAACCGGTCTGCATGAACTTGGGCATCATCAGAAGCCCCGTCACACAGGCGCCTGGTGAAACCGAAGTAGGTGTTCATTTTCCGTGCGACGAGCGTTCAGCATGTTGTCAAACTCCTATATCCTGCGGCCCTGATCAACCCAGTGCCAGCTCTGGATGTTGAGCCCCACGACGAACGCAGCGCGTTCCACATCCGAGGGGGCCCTGGTCAACCAACTGCAACTTGTGCCCCGTGCGCCTCAAAACTTGACATTTGGACGCGTGCGCCAGCGCGTCCTGTGGCAGGGCAATCTAGCCGATCCGTGTCCGACCCTTGCCTTTGAAAAACGTTCGCCCGCACCCTTATCTGAACTGCGTGCTGGCTAGCGCCATCCCGTGCCGATTGAGCAACTGTCTATACAGGATGCCGTTGAAGTCCGCCTGCTCGGGACCGCAGTGTCGAACAGCGCCCCGAGCCCCGCGCAAGCGCCCCTCATAATTGAAGCGCCCGGGGCCGACATGGAATCTACCATCCATCAGCAGCGCAAAAGTACATCTAGCAAGAAACTCTCGGAACACTGAATCAGTACAAGAAAGAAGTTCGTGTTTCATCTTTCTCTCGCTCTCATCCTTGGGTAGGAGGAGCGAACGCACCGAAATGAAGCATATGCCAGAATGACCACGCCATCCGAAACGACGTGCTCCCCCATCGCCCTTGCAATGCCTCTGGTGGACGCCGCGAACGTTCGAAGTGAGCTCGCCCCAGCAAGCGTTGGCTCACTGCGATCATGCAGCCCGTGGGGATCTTGATGCCGAGACCAGGGTCCTGTCGCCGCCGCCGTCGAACACGCCCCCTAAAAACCGAAGTCGGCCACTGGTGCACATCGAAGCCCTTCATCGGAACCCGAACCTCCTGCAACGAGCCATCGTGCGAAGACTTCTCCTGCGCCTGTCCTGTGCCTGTCGGACTAATGCAGTGGGCACTAAAGAAGGTGTAAAGAATCTCAGCCGAGCCACGCTTGAGAGGAACAGCTTGCGGATTATACCGGACGGGCCGCAAGAGATGCCGAGGATCAGCGGCGGCCATGGATAAACATGATGCCAGCTGGGTCCCCAACATGCGGCGGGCCTCTCTACTGCAATCCACCTTGCGCCCGTGCTGGTAGGATTGACCCCCCCCTCTTCCTGCGCGTGCCTGGCTCGGCCGAGGAAACTGCTGATGTTGATGCGAATGCTGGTGATGCTGATGATGACGATGATGATGGTGAAGCTGGTGATGATGGTGGTGATGCTGATGATGAGTGTTTGTGATGCCGACGATGATGAAAATATCTATATATATATATACTAGATGTGATGTGGATGACGACTGTGATGGTGATGGTGATGGAGATCATGATGGTGATAATGATGGTGGTGGTAAGGGCAAGTATGATGATGTTGACGACGGAGACGTGGATGGTGATGTTGCTGTTGGTGATGCTGAAAATTGTGAGAATGATGTTTCTGATGGTGCTGACGACGATGATGGTGATGGTGATTGTGGTGTTGATTATGAAAAATGACGATGACAACGATTGTGCGGATGAACATGACGATGGTGATGGTGACGGTGTGGATGATGACGACGATGGTCATGATACTTCTTATGCGTATGATGAGGAAGATGGTGATCATGATGATCAGGACGATGGTGGTGATGCTGATGATGATACATATGAGAGCGATGATGATGATGATGATGATGATGATGATGATGATGCTGGTGCTGGTGATAGTGCCGGTAATGGCAATGATGAGCAGAACCGTGATATATGACGAGGATGATGATGGAGGTGCTGACGGTGGTGGCGGTGGTAATGATGCTGCTGTTGCTGATGATGCTGATGATGCTGATGATGGCGATGATCAACTTAGCGCCACTGGTCGTGGGACCCAGACATGGCCCTCATGTGCCTTACGGGGGCGTGTTAGGCTTAGTTTCGACCCCAAGCCCCCAAAACGCTCGTTTGGATTTGCGTAGCCCCGCACTCAAGCGAGGAGCAACAGTGCCCCAAGCCGCAAAACAACACCGACCACGTCTTCAGCTGCAGGCACGCTCAGAACCGGAGTCTGCCGACCGTCGTGTTCTTCTGGGACGCCCAGAAGTCTGGGGGGCCCATCTTCGAAGATCGCCTCTCGGACCTCGCCCCACGGGCGGGGGGGCGTCATCGCCAGAACGTGATGGGGAGATACGTAATTTCGACCTTGACGACGAGAAGCTCCCTCCAGGGAACGGCGAGCGGCTGCAAAAACGCCCGTGCAGTCTCTGGCCATCGGGTCTGACGACAGCTGGTGCTCTCCTCTTTGGAAATGTCCACTTGCCGGATGCTCTGGGGGGGGCCTGTGCTCTGGGGAGGCTGCAGCACCGCTTAACGATTTGCTGTCAACCAAGCGTGCAGGGTGTGCCCTCTCCATTTCTCTGTGCACTTCAGCTTTGGCTTCGGCTTCGGCTGCCGATGCACCTTGAAGCGCCTTCGGGCCAATTCACCCGAGTCGGATTTTCTGCTCGCACATTCACCCCCGATAGATCGGCGACCGGCCCCCAAGAGCCTCCTGGGGTAGGGCTATCAAGAACCCTATCGGCGATGAGTCGGCGTTTGGGGGTCGCTGTCCCCGCGCTCCTGGGCGGAATAGGGCTATCGGGGCCCCTATCGGCGATGAGTGGGCGTTTGGGGGTCGCTGTCCTGGGTGGTTTCCGGGCCAGGACTGAAGCCTCTGGCGGCCGTCCGGGGCGACCCGGGCAACCCCAGAACGCTCTCGGCGAGGCGCAGCCGCCAGAGAGCACCGCGAGGCTGGAACACCGCCGAGGCCCACCGAATATGCAAGACGAACCCAAACAGGCGAACAAAATAAACCAAAAGGTAACGATACCAATATTCCTTCTCCTCCTCCTCCTCCTCCTCCTCCCAGGACATCTCCCCGGGCGCGTTCTGACCAGAACTTCGATAGGCGGCTCCGACCGAGGCGACGAAGGCCTCCCATGAGGCCCAACAAACCGAGGGAAGGGTAGCGGTAGCATTAGGTCGGGCGCATCCTCCTACAGGCGGATTTTGGACGCGCGAGGTTAAACATGGAGGAACAAATACTCAAAAAAATCAAACAATAATCAAAACATCGTTCCAAGACTATCGGTTTGACCATTTTAGGCCCAGCGCTGACCCGCCAGCCAAGCCTCCCAGGCCCTCCCCGCGCCGCCTCGAGCTCGTCCGCGCTGTGGGGCGCAGCCTGTGGCACGGCGCGCGGCGCCGCCTGCGCCAGGGGGCCGTTCGCGCCAGGGGGCTCCGCGCCGGGGCTCTCCGCCTTCGGGGGCGCGGATCGGCGGACGCACTTGTCCGGTGGCAACTCAGGGGAGCCTCCCATACGATCTTGCTGGCTCTTGCGATTCGACGCAACTCGACGCTAGTCGACGCTCATCGCCGCTTGGTCGCCGCTAGCCCTGAACAGTCTTTCAAGCACCCCAGTGGTAGGGGGTAACAAACTTTTGCTCGGCGCCGTGTTGAAGGACTAGGGTCCAAACAATAGGGGTAATTGAATATGTTCCTCCTCGCCCTGAAAACCATCGTCTTGCCTATCCTTCTCCTGCTCCTCCTTCTTCTCCTCCTCCTATATCCTCCTCCTCCTCCTCCTCTTCCTCCTCCTCCTCCTCCTCCTCCTCCTCCTTCCCTTGTCCTCCTCCTCCTCCTCCTCCTTCTCCTCCTCCTCCTCCTCGTGCCATCCCAAGGAGGAGGAGGAGGAGGAGGAGGAGGAGGAGGAAGGAGGAGGAGGAGGAGGGGGAGGGGGGAGGGGGAGGGGGAGGGGGAGGGGGGAGGGGGAGGGGGAGGGGGAGGGGAGGGGAGGGGGAGGGGAGGGGGAGGGAGGGAGGGAGGGGGAGGGAGGGGGAGGAGGAGGGAGGAGGAGGAGGAGGAGGAGGAGGACGACGAATTTTGAGGACCAGTCCTACTCACCGCCGCAAGAAAAGGGGGTGGGCGGGAAGGGCCAAAGCCAAAGACCTATAGCGGTTCATCGACGCTCCCCGGCGCGATCTCCTCGACTATACCAGACGCCAATCGAGACGCCAATAAACTCTAGACTCTAGAGAAACGGAATTGCGCGAAGGCGTACGAGGCTCCCATGATGTGCTACCGAACGCCGAACACTTGGATGGCCTGCCCCATCCCTCCGCGGCGAGCCAGAGGGGAAGTGAGAGAAAGGGTGGGCCTTCTCAGAAGGCTCGGAAGTCCTCCAGCCTCCAGAGAAGTGTTCTGAGCCCTCCCCGAAGACAACACAAAAACTTGTCGGAGGGCACGAGGGCGTCTGAGAAGTCCCGCCACCTTCTGAGAAGGAATTCTCCTTCTCATTTCCCCCCCTCGCTCGCCGCCGAAACCCGTGACGCCATGCCGGGATCCACCCGCAACGCATCGGGACATCGAAGCGCACCGAAGCGCGCGTCGGACCGGGCCGCGCCGGCACGGAGCCGGAGCATCGAGTCGCACGGGGCCACACCAGGGCCGCACGGCAGCACCGTGCGGGCGTCGGGCCGAAGCGGAGCGTATAGGACACTCGGAATCGACCGGGATCGGAGTGGCCGAAACCAGTAGAGTCGGACCTGGGACAGGAGGACGTCCCCCGAGAAAACATGAGCCACCTCGTCGGCCGAAGCAGAGAGAGCATCCGAGGGCACCCTCCCCAGGATGCACGAGACTTCACATCCACCGAGCACGAAGAACTCCAGGGCACCCTCCCCGAACCGACCTCGATCTCATCATTACACCGGTCCGACCTTGTCGAATCGGACCGGTCGGATCGAAGTGGGCCCTGCATTGCTCGTCTGCCTTCGAGGGCGCGATCGCGCAGGGACACCTCAGAGGCTTCGATCCTGGAGAATCTCCACGGCGGCTCTGCACAGGGGGCAGTCGGCGGCGAGCCAGGGGGGGAAGTGAGAAGGGGCGGGCCTTCTCAGGAGGCTCCTGAAGTCCACACTCCCTCTGAGAGGTTCTTTTCAAACCCAGACATGGTCGCGTCGTACAAGAAATCAGGACGGAAGGCTTTTGGCCATTTTCGGCCTCGGGGGGCCCTCGCCGGGCCTTGGGACTGATAAAAAACGACTCAGGATGAAAAACCGGTCCTGGGGAAAGGGTCGGGATTTCCAGGGACCCCGTATTACAAAAATCAGGGCGTCGCATGTTTGGGAAGCCTTCCCCGAAAACGCAGAAAACCTCCCAGAAAGCGCGAGGGTTTCTGAGAAGTCCCGCCGCCTTCTGAGGAGGCCTTCTCCTTCTCACATCCCCCCCTCGCTCGCCGCCGCGAGATGGAGATTGATCTTTTACTATTTCTAATAATGGGAGTCGCCCGATGGGGGGGGCGGGTATAACAGTAATGCTTGGGCGGCCTGGGGCACGTCAGGGCCGGGGGGCGCTGCGATCGCCATAAGACTATGGTGTGTGCGCGAGCACCAGCATGTGTGGGAGGGTGGAGTCCAGTCCCTCCTGCGCACGATCAATACCGATACCTCTGGGGGGGGCAGGCAGGTCAACGACCGCTACGCGCCACAGGATAAAACAATACGAGGGAGTCCTGATGGAAGTGGGCGCGGCGGCGAGCGGCGGCGGCTTGGCACACTGGAAGGGGAAGGGCTGGTGAACGAGAACGGCGCCCAGACTTCCGTACCATGCCTGGAATCCCGTCGAGCCCCGCTCGAAAGCGGCACAGTGCATAGCTTGTCGGCTCTCAGGGCCGAACAACCATGCGCCGTACCATAGGGAGACGCCAACGCGGTACAATGCACATAAATCGTCCGCGGATTGTGGAATTGGGCTCCAGGCCCGCCCCCCCTTGCGTACGATCGTAGCCGTTGCCAAAGGGGGGGGGGCTGGGTAAGCGACTGTTACGCGCCAGAGGGTAACGAAAACAAAGCAATAATCATCAGGGATTCCTGGTTGATCGGCGTTTCAAATATGGGACCCTGAGGGATAGGGCCCTTTAAAGGAGGGAAGGGATCCAAGGTCGGACTTGTATTGCGAGACGCCCTGTCCTCAAGACCCTATCTTTGAACCGCCGAGTGAGAATTGGATACCCGAATTATCCGGGATACCTGCGGTCCGGGGTAGCTCTGGGTTGGGCACCCGAGGCGCGAATATGCAATTACCCCTGACTGCCCCCGGCCCTGATGATTCGGGAGGGTTGGACGCCCGCATGATCCAGGATAACTGCGGTCAGGGGTACAACCCCGGTGTGGGCCCCCGAGGCGCGCATCTGCAAATGCCCCTGACCACTCCCGGCCCTGATGTGACTCGGGGCTCGGAGGAAGCGGGCTCGGGCCGCGGCGGCGGCGGCGACGGGCCACGGCGGCGGCGGGCGACGGAGGGCGGCGGCCGACGAACGGCGAGCGGCGGCTGCCCTGCACAGGGGCGGGCTCGTGCCGAGACGACGACGGGCCACGGCGGCGGCGGCCGAGGACGGCCGCGGCGTCAGTCGGCTCGCAGGACGCCTGCCGCGACCACCCCGCGCAGCGGGTCCTCCAGGCGGGCGGCTGCCCCACCTCGGCGAGGGGACTTTTTTATGGATGACGTCGCGGCCAGGAGCTGAAGGGCGTCAAGTGCGAACTGACGTGGACCAGAAGCCGAAATCCGCTCAAGGCGAGGGGCACACATCCAATGCACGCGCGCACGTGCACACACACACACACACACACTCACACACACACACACACACACGCACGCGCGCGCACGCACGCACGCACGCACGCACGCACGCACCCACACACACACACACGCACACACGCACACGCACACGCACACGCACACGCACACGCACACTCACACGCACACGCACACGCACACGCACACGCACACGCACACGCACACGCACACAAAACAACACAACACAACACAACACAACACAACACAACACAACACAACACACACGCGCGCACACACAACAACAACAGCAACAACAACAGCAACAATTACTAGCACGTGGGGACACACCGTTCTCACCAGTGCCAGGGTTTGCATAGGAGGCGGGCAATACCCCGACTTTGTGGGGGGGCTGGTTCAAGCTCTACCAAATTTCCAAACGACTCTTCGCCACCACCCACACCCAGCTTCCCGCCCTATGACGTTCGGACACTTCACTTCGTGGCATGCGGACGACCGTGGCTACTATTCAGGGCCCCGCGGCCGACGACGACGGCGTGCGCGCGCGAAGAAAAAACGAATGTGTCCCGCATGGTATTATTTGACAGGGATGATGGCCCTGGCAGGTGCGCAACCGTTGTTGCAGAAGTTCGAAAAAGTTGCTCGCAAAAGCCCGTTTGACAGAAATGTTTAAAAAGTGTTGGGTTTCCTACGAATCCGCAAGAGCGCGCGGGATGAAATTTTGACATTTTTTGTTTGAAAAACCATTGGTTTTTTGATGTTTTTATGTTAAAATCGCTACGAAAACTAAGGTTTTGGAAGGATTTCGTCTTGCGCGCGCGAATGTCCACTTTACCTTATTTGTTGCAAGGGATTCTTGAAGTTTGGTTATGTTAGAACAAGAAATGTCCACTTTAGCTTATTTTTTGCAAGGGAAAACCGATCGTAACAACACAACCGGATCTGGACACATCGTTTTGCCTGAGACTTCCTCACGAAAATGATGAAAATGAGGCTGCGGCCTAGGCGCGGCGGGGGGGCCATGCACCAGGGGTCCCAACAATAATCATTCTTAAGAAGAAATAATGTTCAACAACAACAACAACAACAACAGCAACAACAACAACAACAACAGCAGCAACAGCAACAACATCATCAGCAGCAACAACAACAGCAACAACAACAACCAACAACAACAACAACATCAACAACAACAACATCAACAACAACAACAACACCAACACCAACACCACACCAACACAACACACCACCACCACCAACAACAACACCACCACCACCATCACCACCACACCACCACCCCACCAACAACAACAACAGCAACAACAACAATTACTAGCACGTGGGGACACACCGTTCTCACCAGTGCCAGGGTTTTCATAGGAGGCGGGCAATACCCCCACTTTGTGGGGGGGCCGGTTCAAGCTCTACCAAATTTCCAAACGACTCTTCGCCACCACCCACACCCAGCTTCCCGCCCTATGACGTTCGGACACTTCACTTCGTGGCATGCGGACGACCGTGGCTACTATTCAGGGCCCCGCGGCCGACGACGACGGCGTGCGCGCGCGAAGAAAAAACGAATGTGTCCCGCATGGTATTATTTGACAGGGATGATGGCCCTGGCAGGTGCGCAACCGTTGTTGCAGAAGTTCGAAAAAGTTGCTCGCAAAAGCCCGTTTGACAGAAATGATTAAAAAGTGTTGGGTTTCCTACGAATCCGCAAGAGCGCGCGGGATGAAATTTTGACATTTTTTTGAAAAACCATTGGTTTTTTGATGTTTTTATGTTAAAATCGCTACGAAAACTAAGGTTTTGGAAGGATTTCGTCTTGCGCGCGCGAATGTCCACTTTACCTTTTTTTTGCAAGGGATTCTTGAAGTTTGGTTATGTTAGAACAAGAAATGTCCACTTTAGCTTATTTTTTGCAAGGGAAAACCGATCGTAACAACACAACCGGATCTGGACACATCGTTTTGCCTGAGACTTCCTCACGAAAATGATGAAAATGAGGCTGCGGCCTAGGCGCGGCGGGGGGGCCATGCACCAGGGGTCCCAACAATAATTATTCTTTAGAAGAAATAATGTTCAACAACATCAACAACAACAACAACAACAATCATTTAAGACTGGGGACACTCCGTTCTCACCAGTGCCAGGGTTTTCATAGGAGGCGGGCAATACCCCCACTTTGTGGGGGGGCCGGTTCAAGCTCTACCAAATTTCCAAACGACTCTTCGCCACCACCCACACCCAGCTTCCCGCCCTATGACGTTCGGACACTTCACTTCGTGGCATGCGGACGACCGTGGCTACTATTCAGGGCCCCGCGGCCGACGACGACGGCGTGCGCGCGCGAAGAAAAAACGAATGTGTCCCGCATGGTATTATTTGACAGGGATGATGGCCCTGGCAGGTGCGCAACCGTTGTCGCAGAAGTTCGAAAAAGTTGCTCGCAAAAGCCCGTTTGACAGAAATGTTTAAAAAGTGTTGGGTTTCCTACGAATCCGCAAGAGCGCGCGGGATGAGATTTTGACATTTTTTTGTTGAAAAACCATTGGTTTTTTGATGTTTTTATGTTAAAATCGCTGCGAACACTAAGGTTTTGGAAGGATTTCGTCTTGCGCGCGCGAATGTCCACTTTACCTTATTTTTTGCAAGGGATTCTTGAAATTTGATTATATTAGAACAAGAAATGTCATTTTCTATTGTTTTTTGCAAGGGAAAGCGGATTACAACAAAACAACCGGATCCTGTACACACCCTCTTTTCTGAGGCTTCCTCACGAAAGTGATGAAAATGTAGCTGCGGCCTAGGCGGCGCAGGGGGGGCGCGCACCAGGGGGCCCAACAATAATTATTCTTTAGAATAAATAATGTTCAGCAACAACAACAACAACACCACCACCACCACCACCACCACCACCACCACCACCAACAACAACAACAACAACAACAACAACATCAACAACAGCAGCAGCAGCAGCAGCAGCAGCAACAACACACACACACACACACGCAGGCCAGCGTGCGTTGAGGACGCTGAGGAGGCGGAGGAGGACGGCCGACAGGCGGAGTGGAGAAGGGAAGGGCGGACTTCGCCCATGGCCAACGCACCTGCGGCCAGAAACTGTTGCTCGACGTGTCGAGGCGGCGGCCCCGGGGACACGCTATCCCTGGCAAGGGGATAGCGCGTCGCTCCGCTCCGCGGGGCGGGAGGCTCGGATAAGGCTCGGTGTTGACGACCGGGGTCCGGGACGCGGATAGCGTGTCGCGCCGATGAGTGGTGGGCCAGAACTGGCGGCGCGACACGCTAAGCCGAAGTTCCAGACCGTGAGGACTCTCAGGCAAACGACAACGCACGTCGTACTCGGTGGCCTCTCGATGCCTTGGGTGAGCTGTGCGCTCGGGACGGAAGCGAAACGAAGCTTGAACAATCCATTGGGGGGGATGTGGAGAGGTGAAGCCTCCATCCCACCCACACCCTCCCCCCCTCGCCTCCTCCTTCTCCGCCTCTTCCTCTTCCTCCTCTTCCTCCCCTTCCTCCTCCTCCTCCTCCTCCGCCTCCTCCTCCCCCTTTCCTCCTCTTCCTCCTCCTCTCCTCCTCCCCGCCCCCTGCCTCCTCCTCCACCCCGCGCCCCCGCCCTTCCCTCCCTGCTTCCTCCTCCCTGCTCCCACCTCTCCCCTCCCTGTCCCTGGAACAGGCTCCCGGGCCAGACGATCGACCCTCCCCGCCCTGACGAGCACCGCCTCCAGGGATGGCCAGAGCCCATGTGCCCCACCCGACTCATCAGGGCTACGCCTGCCTTCAAGGGAACCAGCGACTCACTACGATCCTCCCCCCTCCCTCCTCTGAGAGTCTGGCCTGCCTCCCCCGTGTCCTGCCTGCACCTCCCCCGGCAGCGAAGGGGCGAGAGGGGGCGAAGGGCACGCGCGAGAGTGGGGGGCGACGAGGCCAGGTGCGGAGGTGAAGGAGCTGACGAGGCGAGGAGGCAGCGAGGAGGGGCGAGGCGGCGAGGAGGAGGGCGAGGAGGGGCACGGAGGGCGAGGGGGCAATGAGGAGG